TTAGTGCATGGGCATATTTTCAATTTATTCGCGAATATATTAACATATAAATACTTGTAATGTGTTATTCTGTACATTCTTTATATTCATGCGATATTTGTTATCAACACATATGTTATTCACATTTTAACAAAACAACTATCACTTATAGAATAGCACAGAATTTCGTTTTGTAAACATTAAACAAAAATATATTTAATAAAATAAAACATTTATAACCAAATCATATAAATGTGTATTCATTCACATTATTGCCATACATTTTATGCATCCATTGACAAAACGCTCCTACAATAGTTTAATATAACTAACTTTTATAAAAAGCATAAATTATACGTATACCTAAATAACATACATTCATCTTCTTAAATTATTTATACACAAATTATTTTAGTGTTTTATATTATGTTAATGTTTATACTTTATAGGAATATATGAGTAAATAAAACGAGTGAAAGACATACCGGCGCTCGTTGTTAATGATTTGGATGTAATCATGAGATCGAGAATAAAAGCCTTCGGAAGAGATGGCACCCCAAAAGTTAGACCACAATTGGTTATGTCGTCCCAAAAGGGGTGCGATTATTGCCCTATTATTAGCATAATATTCAATATTATTAATTGTTAATCAAATATTGATAAAAACAAGAATTACTTATTTTGTTGAATAAGTGTTTTAAGAGTCAACGGGTTTGTAAGTCTGGCGTCTGAATCAACGGAAAGATAATAATGGCAATTGACTTTTGCGCACTCGTCACTAATCATTCAAATTATGTTCAATCAATAAAAAGTATCATAAAATGTCAAATAATTAGTTTAAATACAGAGCAGAATTTCTGGCCCTCCATTCCATTGGTTGCATTTGGTCATCGAGTTTGTCAGATCCAAAAACATTGATCCCTCGATATTCCTCTCTGTACTGATCGATAAAATTTTGAATGTCTTTCGAGTGATGGGAAACTTTGTTATAAATGAATAAATGGATTCGTTTTCGTTGGTATTCCAGTTCAACAATATATTGCAAAAATTCGGCAAAGAATGGGGTCTTATGTGTGACAAAAATGCCGATCACAACGAGTGGCAGTTGAGAGTCAGCAGTATTTGTTAGACTTGTTTTGTTATCATTGCAAGAAAGACAACCATCTTTTGGATGCCATGATTTGGCTAAATAGTTACCCAAAGAATTGAGCGAAACCTGTGGTCAAAATTTACATATAATTCGTGAAATCTAATAAGTGTTTGGTTGACTATACTTTGCTGCCACCGTTGCCATGAATTATCAATGGGTTTGTACTGAAGGCAGTGTTGTAAACGTACGCGTCATCGGCTGAAAATTTGATCTCGACGTCACCGACCGCTCCGTTTAGGTTCTGAAAGAGATTCGCTCTCTGATCCAACTTTATGCCCAATTTTGTCTATTTAATCGTTTCAAACATATATTTTAGCATTTTATAAAATTAGACACAAATGAAAGTACCCTTAGGTCGCGATCGATATAAATCTTTGTATAAAACAGTTGGTCGTCATCTAAATCATTGATTTCAGAAGTGGACACCATTTCGTAGATCTGAGGCGCGTATCCAATAAATCCTTGAATGTATTCATAATTTGTAGTAAAAATATTTTAATTAACCAAAAAATACCTCCAGAATTGAGAAACGGTTTTCCGTCCGTTTCTGACTTCGGGTATTGAGACTAACAAATAGATAAATACAATTAATAACAACACTTAATAAAATTCAAATTCAATGAAAGTACTGCTAATGACTTGTCGGGCCAACAAAAGCCTTCCGACGAAAACACTATTTTGGCCGACATTTCATAAAATCGTTTAAGAATTTCATCAGAATTGGACGTTAAGATCACATCAAAACTATAACAAATAACAAATCAATTAATAATTATTAACAAAAAACAATTCTTTAATTAATGCAAACCTATCAACAAAAAGGATGACAACATTTTCGTCATTCTTGTAGTTATTAATGAAAGCCTTAAGTAAATTGACTTTATGTCCGCCGCCGGGACTGGTGGCCACATCGCCGCCCAACCACTTCTCATTTTGCCCCAATACCTGTATTGACCCGTTTTATTCAATATTAATCAATATTCTTCATTGTCTTCTCCAGTGATAACAATCAATAAAACAAGTGATCAAATATAAGACATGCCTCGAGTTTAAGCCCATATGTATTGACAGATCTATTAAAGCGAACGAATCCATCGGTGATATGTGTGGCCACAGTTGTCACCACTAGATTCACTTCTAATACATTATATGATGAGTAAATAATATGATTCAAACCAATAGTATCATGGTCAACATTATCAAAACAATAGCGTTATTGTCATTTCAATACTAACTTTTACTGTCATTTGCGTTGATTTGATTGACATTTAAAATACTTACTAAAAATATCGATTCAAATATTAAAATAGTTTTCAAAAATAAATGCATTTTTAATAAAAGTTATTTCAAATAATAATCGCTTTTATATTATTGTAAACTCTATTGTGAATATTCGGTCAATAATCTCCCTGTATATGCAAGAAGTCATACAAAAACAACGTTACGTTACAATTAGGATGGCGTGAGAATTGGTACCAAATTCTGGCAGACATTGCATTTAATCATTAAATTTCAATGAGTTATAAGTGAATCAATGATAGTCTGTATGGTATATATGGCTCAACCAAACCATAGTGCAGATCAAGTGAATGGACACGCCTTTCGTTGAATACCAGATGAATGTCTTACGAGAGTGTGAATGAGATTCTGTTGCCATAAGAGGAACAACCAGGAGATGACGTCCCGGTTCTCTCTCTCTCTCTCTCTCTCTCTCTC